AGTCTTCCCCTTCCCATGCCTTTCATCGTCGTCCAGTCTCCTTCATCGCGGCCCCCTCTTCTTCTTCTTCCTCACCTTGACTCCTCTTTTCTCCTTTTTGGTTCGAATGAGGGGGAAACAAAAGGCAAACACTAACACTAAACACCACCACCACCACCACCAAACCACCACTACTACCACCTTGTTCATCATTCTCCATCAGCAGCTCCAACAAATCATCACTGGCAGCCAGACACCACATCGTCGCCTAGTTTTGCCCGACGAGATTCGGCACGAGCATCGATCACCACCACCATTACCATCACCAGGTCCTCCAATGGCTCGACGATACCACCGAGCCAGGACCTTCCTTTCCCTGTGAGCATTGCCGCCCACCACCCTGGCGCGCAGACGACCGTCATTCTGTGGTACAGCACGCCTGCACATCAACATCGACGCCGCATATGCACCTCGTGCGACCCTAGCACAGCCCGACATTCAGAGACAATCTGGTGCTTTGCCTTACGACGAAAAGAACCATTTGGGTTGACGATACACCACCATGGGTAACCCATCCACTTGCCGCCCATCGCGTGGCCGCCCTTTGACCACACGTCTAAGCACGCCTCGCTGACGAAATCCTCAAAGCTGAGGTGAATGGTTTTCGGGGCGGTTGTTTGCCGCCCACAGCGCCTACGATAGATAACTCTGCGATCTTGTCATTATCGTGAAACATTACGTTATTTTCCATCTGCCGTCAAGGTACACTTGCTCGTAAAACCACCAGAAAGCTTCGACAAATATGGTTATTGGGCTAAGAACCAACAACGTATACCCTTCGGCAGCGGTGATCCGATAGCTTGTCCCTTGGCCTTCGCTGCCCACGTTGTACCAGTCGCAACGCTGAACCCCAAACTCAATCCATCATGCAAGCTCTCGATTCCACCAATTTTATTATTATTATTATTTTGGCTCTCGGGCAATGCCTGGTTGGCGTCGCCCAGTGTTGGGAGCGCTCTACATCTAGCTGAACAAAAGACAGCTTGGGACCAGCAGGGTCTTGATTGAAGCTTGCGCAGTTTGACTGAGCGGCCAAAGCAACCTTCCAAACATCTCTTTTACTCCCATATCATGCTTTTACACCCCTGGCGGAATCGCTGGCTCTGGCCGGGTCCCTGGTCCCTGCGGACTCGGGCTCGCGTTCCATGTTGTTGTGTTTTTTTTCTCCCTCTTGCTTGTCTCCCCTCTGTTTCTTCAACGCTCAAGACTTTTGATGGACCATTCTGAGATGGAGCAGCTTGTCCATGTGACAGGAGGCCCCTCTTGAAACTAAATGGGGACTCGGGGGAGAGCCACAACTTTGTCTCCATCTGCAAAGTTCTAGTCAATCATCCGGCCAATTCGGCCCAGCTTCCTATCCACCTCCATCCACCGAGGCGGGTGTGGTAGCTCAGCGGTGCCCACTTCAATCTCGAGGTTCGGAGAGACCACGGCGCGGGGAAACTTCGCTCTGGGTTTTCGGATTCCGTAAGGGTGCGTCTTATGAAGAAATTCCACAGGAACCCATGTCTACCATCTACAGGCCCTATCATTATCCCGACCATCGCCCACTCTCACGGTCATCTGTAGTACATAGAAGCATGTGCTTCCTGCAACAGTCCCAAAAAAGCGATTCGCCAGAAGATGTTCAGGCAAGCCGTGTCCTCGTCTACCCCAACAAGGCGGAGCTGGCGAGGGCCTGACAGAGACAAGAGCACCGAGAGGCTCGAATCTGAACCAGGACGCGTGTTGCTACAAGTCGGAGCTATCATGCAGCGAACCTGGGGGCCTGTACTGGTGTGTCAACTCATCGTACCTCCATGAATTCTTTGGAGGCCTCGGGAAATGGTTGAGGAGCGACATTGGCCCCCTTGTTCCTGCTTACCATTCTTCACGATGCAGCCCCAACCGAAGCGCGACATTGCTGAGCCTTGGTCCTTGAAGGTGTTAGTCAACTTAGTCCACACATTCACAACAGTGCCATCTGTGTTGAACAAAATGCCATTGCCAAGAGTTGACACACTCGGAGGCCTGTTGCATGCAACGCCGATCGGCAACTAGTACGGCAATATAAGCTCGGCTGTGAATCTCTCCTATCGCTAACCGTTTTTCTTGTCAATGTTTGGGTTGGGCACCAGAACCAAATATCACCAAGTAAGAAATGCCTCAACAGCGGCCGCCCAGCCGAAGCGGCTGTGACTCTGAGAGTTGTAGCGGCCCAATCATCCCTTGGGCGAAGGAACTGGTTTCGAACAGCAAGTCTTCCCTCCAGTCAAAGGTTTTATGTCAACCCCGTGGCATCCAACAATACAAGCCACTGGGGAAATCCACAGCTTGATTCACTTCAACTCCATATCGATATCCCATCCTTCCCCACACAATCAGACCCCAGTCCAAACGACATGTTCCCCTCACATCAACCGCAGCCGCGCTACACCCCATTTCTGTTCTGCTCCTTCGATCTGAACTTCTCAAGTCCTCCTCGACACCCTTATTGATATCATATCGCCGACCACTTCGATAGCACGCGCCGGTATATCCCGATGGTGCAGTGGACACTCAGCTCTTGATGATTCTATAGGCTAAATGCAAGACGGCAGAGAATCATCCCTTCGGCGCCCAGCGCGCGTCAGAACAAACTTGATCAGACGAAGCGCCGCTGAGGTGACTCGCAATAACTAGTCCACTGTCTACCACATTATGCCTCTTCTCTCTAGGCGCCAACCGCAAACCAGCCGCTTGGCATATGCCCCCTTGTCTAGACACGGAAAAAGAACCATCACATGTGATAGAATTTCCCCGCTCATCTTGTTCGAAGCCACCATCCCAGGGCCTGGGCTCGAAGGAAACTGTACAGCTCAGCCGGATCTTGGTCGCTCCGTGTCAAGTCGGCCCAACAAGGAACATCTGGAATTCCCCCATGCCCCAGGGCCACCCGTCTGACACTGCGCCTGGATATTGACATTGTCCTAAGGTCAAGATGAGGATTCGAGGTTCGAGCACTAGCAATGCAACTCCATTAGCGCTCGGCCGGTCGGGCAAGGCACCAAACGCCCCGGTTCGACTCGGTGATGGCGCTGCTGCCCGGCCTCACTCGATACTTTTACTAGGGGCGGGCCGGCCCTGTAGTTCCGCCATAGCACTGGGTAAGGTAGTCACGAAATAGTGTGCGCTTCCATGCACCGCCGACGGGATGCCATCATGCTCATGCCAGAACGAACCGATGGGACAACGCCGATGCACATCCCACCAGCCCATCAGCGGCACGGGATTTCTAGCCCAATCTGGACTGTGGATGGTCGCCTTTGCCCATGATGCGGAGAAGCACGCAAGGCAGCACATGTTCTTTCTATAGGATACATGATAAGCAGTTGTTGGGGAAGAGGGGCGGGCCAAAGATGGAACGATCGGGTTTGACGGACTAATGCCAAGGATCCATTGCAGAGGTGCAAACGCATGCAGGCCGCGAAGACGTGCAGCAGAGCATTCTTGCTCTAGGAGGGATCATGGTTATGCCTGTTTGTGCTATCGTTCTCGTTCAGCCTCCTTCTGCCTACACAGATTTAGGTCTTTGCTGATTCGCTCCATGGGATACGATGCGGAGGGACTATCATATGCAGGGCATCCAATCCCATGGCTCGTTCGAACGCGGGTACACATGGCGAATAGCACTTTGATTCCTATTCCTGATTTTGGAATTGACAAGATCTGAGGGAAACCCGGGTGCAACCACAAGCGATTGATATCCTTGCCGTTGAGTCTTGGTGATTTGATTCCCGGCGGCGCACTGCCTAACATGTAGATCAGTATGGTGAGTATGTGGTGATCATGGTGATGCTTGGGCTGCATGCAAACTTGAAAAGGCCGATCTCGTGTTGCTCAACATTCGACAACAGTGACACATCAGTAATACCATACGTCTAAAAAGGTTACGTTTAGTAAGAATTGGCTTCGTTGTGTCCTTAATATTGTGAAGCCACCTTACGATAGACTTACCTGTATCCATGGTGAGACCTCGGCTAAGGGGAAACACCTGATCTGATCCTCCGGCTTGTTCGGCTGTCAATCATTGCCGTACCTTATCCTCTCCCCGCTCCCTTTGCCCCGGCTCCCGACTAGATCTCGCGAGAACGCTCCGATTCCAGGTTCCCGTTGGTCCGTGAGTGAGGCCGATGACATATAGTTCGGGAGGAAGGAGTGGGACTGGATTGGGTGGTGGTTGAGGCTATTCGGGAGCGCGAGTGGGTTTGAAGGCTGGCTTAGATTTATAACAGGTCTGAACTTGCTAGAGGCTATTTCTTCAGGAGTTGTGAATCTGTTCGTCGTGGTCCTCATCTACCCAAGTTTTCCTTGGCCTACATTTGTAGCACAATATGATGACGCCACCATGGAGGTGCTTTGCTCTATCCTACCTTAGGGTACGTAATTCAAGTTGTTAACAAGAAGACTGAGGCCTTTAAGATACTTTCATGCCCAATACCAGGCTGCAATGATTTTCATTCTTGTAAAAGTCCCATTCAAGTACGAAAGTGAATAAGATGCGGTGCCTTCATATGCTCAGTACTAGCTGGCACTCGCCCATGAGACACCCCTAATGCCCTGCCTATCGATCATAATGGTACACCAAGAAAAGCTTGAGAGCACCTGTTAATTGACAAAAAAGGGAAAGAAAAAAAAAAGAGTTCACCTCGGTAGGCTACATCTCTTGGTGCTCATGCTGGGATTCGAACTCGGGTACTCGTATGCGCTAAGCCTGTCGTCGAGTAGGCTGGTTGGTGATTTGATTGTTGATCATGAACCACTCCACCACCCAACCAGTTTGACCTGACCCGTCGACCTAGACGGGCGCCTGCTGGCTGGTGACGGGAATGTAACTGAGGGGGGGTATATACCTTATGGTAGGAATACACGAGGCTGTGCCGGAATACTCACACGTTTAAACTTGGAATACTCATACATTCAGATCCAGAATTCCACTACGTCTACCTCGAAACTTCAATAACGCTATGCACAGCAGACTTCAACTTCCAAATCTTAACGACACGTAGCCCAGCCGACGTGATAAGCTCCTTCCACTGTTCCTCCGTCCGCTCTTGCCCGGCGACCATTGCCATCATCTGGATATCGAAGGCGGTTGTCTGCGGATGTGCTAGAGCCGTCTCTACGATGTTGTCGTGGACGAGTAACCTGCTGAAACCGGGCGTCATTGCGTCCTTTTGCATTTCTAAGATCTTGCGGGCTGGGGCGTCGGACCAGTCGTGGAGGATGGAGTGTAGCAGATACGCTTTCGCGCCTGTGGCATGTGTGAGTGGTAAGCTCTTGTTATGGTTCGGGGGTTTCCCCTATTCCATTGCGTAGGGAAATGAAGGCTCTACTCACCTTTTATCGGCTGTGCTGTGAAGAAATCGTACGGAACTTTGTGTAGCCCTTCCGGCAAAATAGCCTGCTCTACCACGGACCCTAGATCCTCGAGATACAAGCGGGAAGCTGTCTCTGGGTAGATGGAGTGGAACTTGAGAACATCATGCCCGGTGCTCCCGCCAATGTCCACAAGCAACGGCACCTGGGCATCGTCTCCTTCTATCAATCTCTCAGCGGGGAATATCTGTATCCACGAAGGATGGAGCCCAGAGATTGTCTGCTGGATGACGTTGAACTGTTCTTGCTGTTTGGGGTGGGCTTGGTAGTAGGACCATAAATCGCCTTTCCACTGGTGCGCGTACTGGAAGACGGTGTTTGAAGAGTCTTGCGGGTTGGCGTAGTGCGTTTTTGTAAAGAATTCTGGCATTTTGGCGTACATTGGGACGATTGTGTCGTTGCTGGGGAGTATCAGTTGAGGGACGACCTTCCGGAGGAGGATGGAGGGAAGGTTCCTACAAGCTGTGGATGAGACTGTCGAATACTGGTGCTGTGATGGCGACTCCGAATGACGTTGGCCTGAAGACTCCTACAGAGGTTTCCTCAAGGAGATGGTTCGAGGCCATGAGTCGTAGGAACCGATCTACATCGTGAGACACTGGCAACTTCATGAAATGATAGTAGGACTTACAGAGCAGCGCGGGATCACAGGTCCCTCCCAACAGCTCAGAAAGCTGGCAACTTGTCATTGACTCGCTGTTCCGAGCTTGCCATTTCTCAAACAGCTGCAAGTCCTTCAAGATCTTTAGAGTTGCGCCAAGGGCCGGCTGCGTTTGTGTGAGAATAAATGTAGCGTGCGGAAGACAGTTGATTGACTACAGAGACCATCTCTTACCTGTGTCATGCAGATCCTCACCAATGTCTCCCATGGAGACTCCAGGCGCGCCATCAGAGCGTATGTTCCGAGGAGCGCTTGCATGCGTTCATCTTCGCTTTCGAAAGAGGTTGATGCTACGTCTTGAATGCCTTTGAGAAACGAGGCTGTCGTGACTTTTGCGCTACCCCCATCTTCTGGCGCCCTTTTATCCTCATTTTTTCTGTTCATCGTGTAGCTGCAGTCTGTACTTAACGGCTAAGGTAAGTCTATCTTGAAGAGAATCTCTCGATGGTATTTGGGTTTCAAGCAACTATTTCTCATAGAAGAGGCTTTTGATCTCTTAAAGGCCTGTTTCAAGGTGACCCATGGACGGCGGGTTTTTATTCTGACGCTGTGCAGATCAAACGAGGCTGCGGAGGGGGTTCTTCAATTGAGTCTTGGCCATCCAGGGTGATGCTGGATGCAGTGATCTGTGCTCTGTGGAGAGCAAAAGGCAGAGCTGTGTCACTATCCCGGCGAAGTAATCTGACTTTTGACAAACGCTTACGGAATGAACAACTGGTCTAGGAGTAAAGTTTATCTGGCAGAGTTCATGCCAGATCGAGGCGAATACGCAGTCCTGAACGGTATACTCCAGCCATGTCGAGCTGCGCGGTTCATGGTGATCTGTACTGGAAGCCAACGCAGAGCATACATAAGTTATGGACAGCTTGGGAATAAATGGGGTGGGTATATTCTCTTTTGTTTATCCGTATTCTAGTTGCCAAAAACCCATCCATCATATGCGCAAGACCACACATTGCAACAGTTGCCCAACTTCGCCCGGCAGAGACGCGCAAAACCTCTCTCCTTCAGTGACACCACAACCTCACAGCCTTATCCTTTCCACCACTGCCAACGCGCTGCCCGTCTCTGGGACTCCAGTCAACGGCATACACCTCATCCTGATGCCCCGGAAGGTCTACAGCCAGCTTGTGCGTCGCCATGGACCACACCTTAAGCGTGGTATCCTTTGACGCCGTCACAAGCAGCCGCGAGTCGGCGGAAAAGGCGCACTGGTACACGGGCGCGACGTGTCCGCGTAGCGTGTTGATGAACTTGCCGTCCCTTGCGCTCCAGAGCTTGGTATGGTTATCCCAGCCGGCGCTGGCGATGAGGGTGCCATCCGGGGAGAAGGTAACGTGGTTGACCTGCTTCTGGTGACCCAGCATGCGCGCCACGGGCTTGGTGCCCTGTGACGGGTCCCAGAGATACATTGTGAAGTCGTCGCTGGCCGAGACGATGCGCTCAGCCACCTTGCCCTGGATCTTGGCGGCCTTCTCGAAGCGTTCCTTAGCTTTGGCGCGGCGAGCCTCCTCCGTCTCCGGTGTGGGCGTGTGGTCGAAGAAGCCCGTTCTCAGGGCAAAGTCGGAGGAGAGGGCGAGGTGGTTCACCCAGTGAGCGTGCGAGGAGAGCGTGTGCACGAGAGTGCCCTTAACCGAGTCCCAAACCTTGACCGTCTTGTCGTGGCTGCCCGTGTAGACAAGCCCAGTGCCGCCCCATTTCACGCAGCTGACGCTGCTCTTGTGGCCCGAGAGTACGTGCTCCGTCCGCCCCGTGTTGACGACCCAGATGCGCACCGTCGCGTCCTTGCTGGCGGATGCCAGCCGCGGAGTGCCATCGCGCCAGAGGTGGTAGGGTTCCCAGGCAATTCCAGTGACCCATTTCGCGTGGCCCGTCAGGGGTTGGCCGACAGCGACGCCTTTATCCGGGTCCCAGAGGCGGACAGTCTTATCCATGCTGCCTGTCGCTAGGCGGCGGCCGTCGGCGGACCACGCCACACAGAGCACCCAGCCGGTGTGGCCCGAGAGTGTGAACTTCGGAGTGCCCGTCTCTGTATCCCATATGCGCGCCGTCTTGTCGCCGCCGCCTGTTGCTAACCTCTTGCTAGTCTCAGGGGAGAACTGGGCTGAGAGGATGGCTTCGCCGTGACCTGGGATCCGATGGGCCATGCGGGTAACGGCTTGCACCTTGAATACGGCCTGGGGCTCGGCACTAAGAGTAACTGTTGTCTCGAAGGGGTTTGCGACGCCATGGCTGCGGAGGAGCTCGAGAAGGTTGGTGGGGTATTGGTCGACGATGATGTCTGTATCGGGGATGTGGATTCGGAACTTGTACGGGAGGAAGTCTTCTCTATCCTGTCTTGGGCGTTAGATAAAGGCTGTATACGGCATTGTCAATGAGAAGGATATGGCTGACCTTTCCTTGCAAGGTGTTGAGAAGGAGAGTCAAGTTCTTCTCAGAAGCGTCCGCGAGGGGCACCTCGATCACCTCGGCCAGCTGCTGTCCGTCGCCATCAACGAAGCGGGCCTTGAAGGAGCCCTCAAGGCCCGGGGCCATTGCGGTGACATCTTGCTGGGTCTGTGTCTTCTCGAGCGTCTCGCGCTTTTGACGCTTCGAGGGCGGGGGGAGTATCGTCGCCATGGTTGTTGCGTCGGTTGACCGCCTGCTCGAAGATTGTCCTTTTTTTTTTTTGGTCTTTGAAATTGTCAGAAATATTTCGACTACAGCGATGCGGGATGGTGGGGCAGAAATTTTGATGTGCAGACGGGACGGTGGACCAGGGACCATCGGTCAAAAATTGCCCGTGGTTGCGACGCCCCCACTACAACAGCCTAAAAAATGCCATCGCTAGCATTTGCAAGTGGAGAAACAATATGTTGTCTGTTAATGCGAGCATTGATAAGATAAGAATGACCCCCAGTTCAGACGATGAACAAACTCCGAGAGCCATCCTGGCAGCTCTCTCCTGGAACTGTGATTTTTCAGCGAGAAGAAAAATAAGTATGTCCGGGCCAGCTTGCTACGCTGGTATCCTTATGAACGCCATGCCCCATTTCCTCCGTCCGATAGGGTATGTCGTAACCCTCTTACACATTACACACACATTGAGCCCTTCTCAAACTCATCATACACACTCTCTCCTCATCTTCTCCCAACGATCAACGGTACAAACGGCCACTATCTTCCCATGTGAAGGCTGGGGTCGAGGGTCTGGTCCATGGCTGTCTTCTTCGGCCGGCCACGCCTCTTTGAGCCCGGAGCCGACGAGGCACCTGCAGCTCCCTTTGACATTGCATTATTCGTAGGAGTCGCCGTGTACTGGTGGAACACTTGCGGCTGACCTTGAGCCGATTGCATGCCAAATTGGGGCACAGGAATGGGCGTCTGTTGGACAGCGTTCTGCTGCTGGAAAGTGTTGTTAAGGTGCTGCCCGCGCATCTGCATCGTCCTCTGGTTGCGCTCCTCAATCTCAGCTTGCCGGTCTCTATACTGCGCGTGCTCATCGTGGGTTGTCTGCTCAAACGGGTGCTTAGGCATACCAGCCATGCCATCCCGGGACATTTGGTTCATCTGCTGCTGAACCCGGTTGTGGTTATGGCTGTGATTGTGGCCGAGATTATGATTCTGTACTTGTTGCTGCTGGTGCTGTTGGGGATGTTGTTGATATTGTTGATGCTGCACTTGCTGATGCTGCTGCTGTTGCTGCGGTTGAGGGGGCTGCTGTTGTTGGTGCTGTTGCTGTTGCTGCGGCGGTGGTTGCGGCAGTTGTTGCTGTGGTGCCTGCTGCTGCTGCTGCTGCTGCGGCTGTTGTGTGCTTTGCGATTTGCGTCGACTTTCTTCAATTTCCTGATGCTTCTTTTCCTGCCGAGCCTGCCTTTCTTGTCTCTGCATATCCTCGTTCTCGACGGCGTATATGGCTGCGATTCGCAGTTGCATCTGGGCTAGTATACCCAGGCGTTCAGGTTTCGACATCTTGCGATATTCGGACTTGAAGTTGTGAAAGGTCTCGCCGGTAAGTCGCATCGTATTGGGAGCGGCTCCCACCATAAGGAGAAGGGCGGCTGTTGTAGGATCTGGCGCCGGACCAGAGCTCTGCACTTCTGGGACTATGAGGGTTAGTGTGGAACGACGGATGGCAACGACGGAGACAAACCAATTGATACATCCTGGGCGACGTCGGCATCTCCTTCTGCATCGGCATCCTCCTCATCCGTCGGCGGGTCAGGCGTGCGCGCCTCATGGTTGTGTTCGCTGCATATGATGGTCAAGATCCATTTCCCCAGCGTCTTACGATTGACGGCTTTGGCCTTCCAAGGGCAATTGGTCTTCTTGGTGGATGTCTTCAGCTGCGTCGCTGTGCATTTGTAAGGCTGGCCACCACGATCGCAGACGAGATCACATCTGACAACCTCGCTGCCTTTTTCGTAGGTGCCACCGACTTTGTTTCGATGGGTACGTGACTTGACGACCTTGTACCCATCTTTTTGCATGCGCGTCTTCAGCGCCGCGAAGAGCTCGTCGAACGAGGCATATTCCTCGGTGCCGTCGCTGCGATCGCGGGCGCCCAGGATGCCAAACATGTTGACGGCGGGGCGGGGCGACTAAACACCAATGTCGCGATGGCTTCAAAAGCCTGGTCCCGGATCCGTGTCGGTTGAGAAGGGCGGTTCGAGTCGTAGTGTCGCGGCGCGACGCGGTTCGGCTTCCTGTGCGGATTGGTTTTCCAAGCCTGTCGCAAACTCTTCCTGACGTGTCGGGGCCGTGGGGATGACGACTTGACTCCACCGGTCGACATCGCATTACCTTTGTGGCTGTACACCCGTTGAATTTGTGGCTAGTGCATGCGGCTCCACTCTTCTCGGCCGGGACAACCCCGGCTCGTCCGTGTAAGTCAGGCAAGAGCTGTTGCCCGTTGCTGCGGTTTTGGTTCGAGGTCCCTCAATCATTCGCAACGACATCCCATCTGTTTTTTTTCGAATGTAGCCGAATCACGTCTGTTCTGTCTAACCTCAAACCTCACCTCCCACCACTGTAGTCGACCAGACATCCACCGGATTGCGTCACCGCCAACATCCCGGCTGCTGTAGTCCACGTAACCACAAGATGGATGCTCGATACTTGCGGCCCTCGAGACCTTCGACTGGCTACATGACCACTCCTTCTCAGACACCAGCACCATACAGAGGAGCGTCTCCTTACTTCTCCCAAACAATTCCAAGAACGGGCACAAGCTCAGCAAATCCGAGAGTCGGAGGCTCCTGCACGGCTACGCCGACGCCATCTTCAGCGGAAGACCCTGTCTCTAGTTCTTACTACACCTCAAGCTACGACTATGGTACTAATACCAGTGGTACCATATCAAGATCTCGTACCACCCGGCCGAGCACTTCCCACACTAGTCGCACGTCGCGAACCCCTTTTCTGCCCAACAGCGCCAAACACACCATTGTGTGCGCGCTGAGCGAGGCTCGCGGGATAACTCCTGCTGTTGGAATTGTGTTTTTCAACGTTGATACCGGGGAAGCCATTCTTAGCCAAATTTCCGACAACAGGTTCTTCGTTCGAACCCTTCACAAACTTCAGATCATGGAGCCAACTCATCTCTTAATCGTCAGCTCGTGCTGCCCCCCTAATCCCAAGTCGAGGCTCTACAGCCACATCGAGGAACATATGCCGGATACGAAAATCACATCCCTTGATAGGAAGTACTGGTCAGAGATGGATGGGCTCAATCGTATTCAAACATTCGCGTTCCGTGAAGACGCAGAAGCTGTGAAGGTTGCCATTGAAGGCAGCTTTTATACAACCTGCTCGTTTGCCGCGGTAAGGGCATCCTCAGGAAGGCCATACCAGTGTGATAACTAACGTGTTATAAAGGCTATGAGCTTCTTGGAGACCGAGTTCTCCGTGCGTGTTGTCCCACATTCTCTTCGCATTCGCTACCAGCCCTCGGAAGATACCATGATGATTGATGTATCTGCCATCATGTCTCTCGAGATCCTACAAAATCGACGCCAAGCGACGTCTAACGACAGCCTTTACGGTGTTCTGAAGCATACACTGACACCAATGGGCGGCCGAGTACTTCGAAGTAATCTACTGCAGCCGTCTACTCTCAAAGAGTCATACCTTGAGCCAAGGTATGCTGCCTTGGAGGAACTTCTTGCAAATCAAGACATGTTTGCAGAGGTTCGAACAGGTTTGACTATCCCATCTCCTCGCAGTCAGCGATTTGCTGATATTGTGCAGCTTTGAAGGCTTTTCCTGATGTCGAGAGCATGCTGACCAAGGTACCGAACCGAACCACAATAACACCTGGCCCCTGCAAGGCCCTGCTGACTGGGATAGCTCGTTATCATCCCTAACAAACCGTCCGTCGAGGCTTCAGAAAGAGCAATCAACCATATTCTTATGGTGAAGACATTTATAGATGCCGTTCCACCAGTATTCCAGGCGATGGGCCCTGCCACGTGCCCCCTTCTCACCAAGATCAGAGATCTCTGCCGGCCAGAGTTGACTGCAGCCGTCAGAAAGCTTGTGTACCAGAATATCCATGAGGACGTCCACTACGTCAAAAGCGCTCTGGATCTACGAAATCAAAGAACTTTTGCGGTCAAAGCAAGTGAATGCTGGACAATGTTGCCGAAGGTTGGCTAATAATGCAGCAGCCTGGAATCAACGGGCTTCTCGATGTTGCCAGACAAGCCTATAAGGAAAATACCGATGACGTCCATAAACATGTCGAAGAGCTGAATCGTAATTGAGTTGAATCCCCACCACAATCCACTCCTCATTCTAACGAAAACCGCAGGCGAGTACGGCATCGAAGCTATCCTACGGTTCGACAACGGGCGCAAGTACAGCCTTCGAATGCGAGCAGTAGATTTCGAGGATCGGGCTGTACCTGCGGTGCTTGTCAACCAGACCATGAAGGGACGCTACATTGAGTGTCTCACAATGCATCTCAAGAAACTGAACCAGAGAATCACCGACTCTGTTGCCGAGGTGGTCATGCTGAGTGACAAGGTTATTCAGGATCTCATAGACAGCATTCGAACCCAATTGCAGCCCCTCTACCGCGTCTGCGATTCAATCGCACTACTCGACATGATTGCATCATTTGCACACACAAGTTCGACGTACGATTGGAGGAGACCGGAGATATCAGATACTCTGGCGCTTAAAGCTGCTCGGCATCCCATCATGGACGAGGTTTGGCCCATCCACTGGTTGGTCTGACGCATGCTGATCGTAAACAGACTCTGAAGGGTGGCTTCGTACCGAATGATTATTACGCTGCCGAGGAGCACCGTTTCCAGATTGTGACCGGCTGCAACATGAGTGGGAAAAGCACTTACATCAAGAGTGTCTCTCTGCTTCAGATCATGGCACAAATTGGCTGCTTCGTGCCGGTTGAATACGCCAGTTTTCCCATCGTCCACAACATCTTTGCTCGGCTGACCACTGACGACAATATGGAGTCCAACATGTCAAGCTTCTCGCTCGAGATGAGAGAGATGGCTTTCATCCTCAGGTATATGCTTTTGACGCAGGAGACCTTCCAATACTGACATGCCTAAGCAATGTCACCCACAAGAGCATCGTCATCATTGATGAGCTAGGTCGAGCTACAAGCACCCGAGATGGACTCGCCATCGCGATCGCCATAGCCGAAGCCCTTATACAGAGCCGTGCCATTGTGTGGTTTGCAACTCACTTCACAGAGCTTGGTAGGTCCCTTAGGATAATCCCATCCCTTGACTTAGCCCCAGGTGGATCTGGTCCGAAGCTGACTCAAAATGCCTTAGCCGACGTCCTAGCCGATCGCCCCGGAGTACTGAATCTTCGTCTCGTCACGCAGGTCTCGACGACGGACAATAATGTACCCAGGTTGACTATGATGTACAAGGTTGAGTCGGGAAAGACTGAGGAGTTGCTCTATGGCATCACTCTTGCGAAGGCCATGGCATTTCCCAAACGGTTTCTTGAGGTTGCCGAGGAAGTCGCAGTATCTCTGCATAAACGAAGGGAACAGAATAAGCAGTCTTCTCAAGCGAGGAAGATGCTCAACCGACGCAAGCTAATACTCAATCTTCACGAACAGCTCAAACAGGTGAAGAATTCAGAAATGGACGATTCATCGATGAGAAGCTACTTGATACGTCTCCGAGAGGAGTTCGTCTTGCGAATGGAGGCTATCGAGAGCGGTGGTAATCAAAGCAGCAGCAACGCTAGTGAGGCTCTCGGAGACGAGGTGGACGGAGGGGACGGAGAGTTCGATGACGAAGATGTCTTTGACACTGTTGATGCCGAGTCACTTTGGAGCAGCTGAGTGGAATACTCCAGAAAAAGTGATCTGAAGATGACTTTTGAAGCAAGATGGTGCTTTCATTGCTAGCTGGTGTTATGGTCATGGACTTGGCCGCCTACTTGCTGATGTTCATGACATAAACGTGTATTGTAGTTCACTTCTTCTGACAGGAACACAGCAGATACAGTGAGAGGTCTGGTTCGCTCAGTACTTGATTTCGGTACCTCATTGAGCTTCTGGCATGTTCTATTCAAGAGTGCGTACGCAGAGCCACGAGTACAATTGGTTTCGTATTGCTCTGCAAATGTGTATTCAAGCTTCTGGTGCGTAGAAGGAGCAAGGTGCATCATCCTAGTGCTCTTGGATTGATGCCATTCGCAATTTTCTACGGATTGAGTCTGGCTTGAATCACCTAGGCAAGAAGCACCCACCGCTCCTTCCCTCCAGGGGATAGGGGGTTTGCCAAACAAACGGAAGGCGCCAATCACCTTTGAGCCTTGCATCTTTCCCTCGTCGCAACCTCCACGGTACCTCCCCGTCCACCCACCTAGCCGCGTCTATTCCGCTTCAGCGTTTTCTTTCATCAATCCACTTCACACGCTGCCTTGCGGCCATTAACTTCACATATCCCGTTCAAATCTCACCTCTGAGCTCGGTTTTCTTGTGCACCGTACCACACACCCGCGGCCTTTTGCGCGCTATGCTTAGCCCGCCTCGCGAAGGTGGCGCAGAGGCCATGGAGAAGCCCGACCTCCCATCGTGAGTCCACACAAAATCTCCACTTATCTCCACCTCGCTGACGTCTCATAGCCTTTGGGAGACGAAGAAGAATGCCGACATTCTTCTCACAATGGGTGCCAGCCAATGGGAGCTTCATGACAAGGTGGTACGCGGAAAAAGCGGCCTGATCGACCACATACTAGAGATGGTTCAGATGGTAAGCTCCTGTGTAATATATCGTCTCGCGAGGTCAATCATAACCTCTGAAGTGGCGTTGACTGCTAACGAACGTCTCTAGAAAGAAGGGATGAGAAAGATCCCGCTGAAGGAGCGCATGTTCCCCTATTCTGCTCTGAACACAGTCTTGAAGTACTTCTACTTTGGAGGTGAGTGATTCCTTCGGCTGTAGGAAGTTGTTGTGTGCTGACCATCAGCAGAAAGCCTGATCACGGAAAAGAATGAAGTGATATACCTCCTCTCTTTGTACGAGGTTTCCGCGACACTCGCCATTGTCCCGCTACAGGAGAGGATTGCTTTCCAGACAGGCAACTTGCTTAGCGAGATCCTCTCTGGTAATACCGACAGAATGGGAGACTTCTACATCGTCGTAGAGGTCATCGTTGCCGAGCAGGACAACTCGTGGGTATTCATGCACGAGGAGATGCAGCGAGCACTCGGCCCCTATCTTCTCAAGCTACTTCAACAGGACACCTTCGTGGACCTCATCAAACAGAACCCAGCATTCTGTTTGGAGGTTCTTTCCACTGCTATTGATCGCATCGAGATACTTGAAGACGCTGCAAAGGAGGCAATCGATGTGAAGGACGCGAGTAACGGTGGCACCCAAGCTGTGGTTGAACATGGCAGTGGCGTTTCGAGACGTTATGGTAGGTACCTGGCCATCAGTGACCAATTCCGCTTTTATTAACACAATGAAGTCGATGCAGGGACACAATCAGATATTCCGATGCCGCACACTCCGAAAAAGTCCATCCTTAAGGCTACATGCAATGATGACCAGCTTACATGCTCTGTCGATGAGACGACTCCTCGGCCCAGAAAGCGCGAATCGGGCACGGAGATCACAAATCGACTGGATGAACCCAACCGCTCTTCGCAGTCTATCCCTAGATTGGCCGGCACCTCTGGAACGGAGAAAACTTCCAGCTCGACCTCCAAAGATGCCAAATGTAAGTACTTCCCCTCCATTTGCTACTTCTGATTCGATGTTCACAAGACATGGATTTCTTTGCACACATTTCGCAGGCTAATCGTGAGAAAGTGACACAAGTTCCGCAAGACTTCAAGTTCGACTTTGAGGCGAAGATCGTCATGACCGAGGCTACCTCAACGAGTGCCAACCAGAACCAAGCATCCAGTCTTTCAGAGACGCTGAGGATGGACACTGCAAACGGGGCTGCCCCGCATGTTCGCCCTCGATCATCCGCATCACAAGCATCTACTCACTGGGAGTCTTGCAGTGAGGGCGATCAAAGAGCCGTCTCAGTCACCGGGACGAGCAAACCCACTGCTTCATCTGCCTCTGTCGAGCCTTTATCGCGCGTTGATGCAGCGCCGGAGGCTCAATCCCAAGATAAGAAGACACAAGCGAGCTGCGGAAACAAGAAAGGCGTAAGATTGGGGAGTCCGTCCTTGAATTCCTCCAGCCATATCCAAGGGGGAGACCTACCAACTTCTACGCCCCAAGGCTCTAGTGCCTTTCCGACTAAGCAGACTGCTGTTTCCGCCATCTGTGAGCAGTCTAGTCGCTCATATACCTTCAACAGCGACAGTCTCCCCCAAGGCCTCCAGTTCTCTGGTGGACCGCAGCGAGAGCAATCCAACGACTCTAGCAGCAAGGCTACTCCTAGCCACACGCAGGGGGGAAAGACAGCTGTTACGGGAGTAGTCGAAAGAGAGCGAAGAGAATACGTGTTGAGTGGGTCTGATGTCTTACAGACCAAGGGGACAACTGCTCCCGCTGTTCCCGAGCGGTCAAGTCGCTCATACACATTCAACAGCGAAAGCATACCTCAAAGCTTCCAATCCTCTGGGGGCGCCCAAGGAGAGCACCCCAAAGAGCCAACTGTCAAGGCATCAAGCAGTAGGACAACCAACACAAAAGCCTCTACCAGCTGCGCTCAGCAGAGTACCTCTTCGTCTTCCCACACCAGAGTGAAGCCGAGCCCTTGGAAAGCCAACAAAGCAACGGCGAAGCAAATAAGAAAAGGCCGGCTGATAGTCGAGCCTCCTGGTGAGTCGCCGAAGCCATTCAGTTTTTGGTGGTGCGTGGTTTTGCTTTGCCAGTGGCTGCTCTATTATCCGAAGGCCTTCTTCTTATCATCACCACAGAAACTTCCTCCAGCTCACCAAGAAACTTCAACCTCGAAGGGGACAATTTGAAGCAATGCTGCAAACCTTCTTGAAGTTGGCAGATCTCCCGAAGTTCCTCAGGGAACTCAGTAATCCAGCGTTATGCGAGTTCTCGGCTGGAACTCAGTGTCTCGAGATACTGTATGAGTACTGGATGAGCGAGAGGAATGCTAGGAGAGAATGCTTTCGAATGACGAGGACAGAGGCATCCAGCACGTATTTATCGGTACAAGGTATGAACTCCCTACAGAACGTCGCAAAGTATGACCGACATCGCCTCAGTACTGAAGGTATCCACCGAAGAAACCTACACTTATGGATCATGTATCTCTGGACATGATGGTCTACAGGCGTTGAAGTCTCAGAGGGCATGGTGGTGGAGGCAGCAAGTGAAATGTAGTAGCAGCCATCACAGAAGTCATGGCTTGATACAGAACACCCAATGTCAGGGTAGTCTCGCAGATTGAGCAAGGCCACGAAGACCGAATGCAATTTACTGTCTTACAATTGAGCCTTCTCCGTCCGGTTACCCTGCTCGTCAAACCAGATCTTGGTACCCTTGATCATAGACTCCTGCAACGCCGCACCGATCTTGACGGCAGCCACTGCAGAAGTCAACTTAATCGGCACAGGCTTATCCTCCAACACGCTCTCGGTAAACTCAATCGCTTCAGTTGTGAAAGCAGCCCTGAACCGATCCCAGTACGTTTGCGGCAGCTCTTGCCGGATGCCTCCCGGCGTGTAAATTTTTACATGGTTCTCCGCAGGCAACAGGTTGACCGACAGCTTGCCCTTGGTACCAATAATTTCCGTAGAGTCCTCCTGGCCCGCGGCCATCATGCGTGAAGCATACAGATACGCGATCCGCCCATCGTAGAACTCGACCGTGCCAACGGCGTTGTCGCGATCATTGTGCTTCCGCAGGTCCGGCTCGACGGCCGTGATGCCGACGGCGTGGACGGACTTGACCTTGGTGGTCTCCTCGTCAAAGAACCAGAGGGCAAGGTCGATGTCATGGATGCTGCAGTCGACAAAGATACCGCCCGAGAACTGGGCGTAGGCGACGAAGAAGCCCGAGGGGTCAAGAACGTCGCACGTTTGGCTGCGTAGGATGGCGGGGCGGCCGATGAGGCCTTGTTGCATCTTCGCGTGGGCGTCGCGGTAGGAGGCGTCGAAGCGGCGGGAAAAGCCGCACATTACTTTTAGATCTGGGCGTTTTGCGGCTGCGTCGACGACGGTTTGTGACTGTGGCCGCGTTGTTAGTTCTCCCGCACATCTTCAGACAGGTGGGACTGTGAGATTGCGAAACTTACAACTTCGACAGTGGTACCCAATGGCTTCTCACACAAGACGTGCTTGCCCTTCTCAATGGCCTTGTTAGCCTGCTCAGCGTGGACAGAGGTCGCGGATGCCACGCAGATGGCTTCCAGACCCTTGTGGGCGAGCATGTCGTCGTAAGATTCGTAAACGGTGACGCCGTGGGGGGCGAGGTTCTCAGCGGCCCATTGGCGCTCACCGGCGTCGGGCGAACTGACGGCCACGAGGGTCGCGCGGGGCACGTTCTGGTGGAAGTTGAGGGCGTGGCGCTTGCCCATGCGGCCGAGACCTGCGACGCCTACTTGGAGCTTCTTGGTCGACATTTTTCTCTCTTTGCGGTTCTGGTGATGGTTCGTGTGGTTATGGGTGGTCGGAGCTGGGTCCGGTGTTCGGGGGTGGTTTTGGTCGCGAAAAGGGTAGTGCAAGGTCTATGTCTATGTCTATTTCTTCTGGTATGCGAATCGAACTGTAGCTGGAACGGTCGTAAGGGTATCAAAGATGGAAGAATGTACGAATAATGGCGGTGACGAGGACCGGTGGGATACTCCTCCTCTCTAGTCTGAGACAACTGACGCAAACGCACAAGCTGGGAGAAATCGAAAGGTACCGAGGACGTCTTAACATAGCTCTACAAACAACCAGGGACCTCTGGTGTCTTATATCCTATAGCTTTTCAAACGGAACCTCACCGTCCGCGGAGTTCTATCGGAAACCATTTCCCGACACGAGTAAAGAGCTCCATCACGGGGCAGCTCTGACGCTGAGGAGGATACCAATTCATGCCAATTGACCAGTGGAAAGTGGAAGCGCATGTCAGAATCCCACAAAAGCGCGCCCAGGAGTCAAGACGCGTCAAGATGCCCACGTGAACTTGCAGCAATGCTGAGTTGTAGGAAAGCTTTGAGGCATCTCGAAACTTGGCTTTGCAACCGGTGTAAGACAGCCCACTTTCCTGATTCTGGGAATAAGGCAGGTGGGGGGTTGGAAATGGACAAAGAAGAGCTTCGCATTGGTTGCTTAGTTTATCGGGGGAACTTTCCCCGATCCTCAATCAGGAGACTTCGGCAATTTTGTCCGATAATTATGTCTTGCGGCTAGATTACGTGAACGAGACCGAGCTCCGCGTATTAGCTCGCCACCATGCGACTAAGTATGGTACACTACGAATATACCCCAATATCCCAAAGCTAAAGGAAAAGCTACGAAAAACTTGTTGAATGCCTCAGGAACCTGGGGTAGCCGACAAGTGTGCGTTCCAGAACTGGTCATGCCTTGCATGTGTCACAATCTCATGGGCAATATGTAACCCGCATTACGGATACGGGGTAATGTCCGTGTTCATTGAGTCTATCTGATCCTCCGCATTGCCTAGATCCGCTCTGTCGGGATCACCAGATTGCATCCCCGTACTTCCACCCTCTCCTCTTTCCTTGTCCTTGGTGCCGGCTGGGTTTTCTGGGGTACGGGGTAATGGGGAAGACCAGATGACCGGAGATGAAGTCGTTTTAGTCCCTTCCTGCAGATGTGTGCGTTCCCATACTCGTCGCAGAATTAGCTCTGTGGTCATTGAGTGTTGACCGTCTGCAACAGTAGGCACACGCACAGGTAATTACCGGAATCCTAATCCCGATCTCTCCAGATGGTATGCTGTGACTCAAGACACGTAGGAAACCAACGTGGTATTTCTGCAAGACGCGGTAGGAAATTATGTGGATTTGGCATCTTATCAAGAGTAGACACGTAATCAGTCATGAGTCGTCCTCCCACCCCCACGCCCTCTTCAAGTGCGACTGTGCCGAAGCAGTGGGCCACATGTGTTCGACGTCCGTCTTGACCAAGATGTCCAATAGTGCTTTTTGCTCGGCATACTCGACGAACCTGTCCCCGCACGCCGTGACACCCATGCAGGCCGTAAACATGGCTGGTATCGTCTGCTTATTCGATAGTGCGGCGCCACATAGTTCTCGAACTTGCATACGGATGTCGTTCTAGAGCCTCCGATTTAGCTAAACCTTTAGTCGAGATCATGTAATGGAGAGTTCTTACATCTAGCTTTTTTCGGGCTCGGATTCGGCTGGGTCCTATCTTGGGGATGCTCTCGTCGTGGCACATCAAGAGTGCCCGTGCTAACGCCCCATGCACATTTCCGATTACTGGGCCTTGTTAGTGGGCTCGTCCACTATGCGCCGCTACGAGTAGAATATGATCTTAGCCTCAGAAGGGGCAATACTCACCGACGGCATGGTTAATGTAAAAGATTTGCGGAAACACCAAGCCCGAAGCAAGATCCGGCTCAGAGTATGCAATAGGCAACCAAGAAAGCGGCCTCGCGCGTAGCCAGTCGTAGTCATACTCGATCAGCCGCTGATACTCGCTCTTACGGTTCTCTACCTCGCCAAAACAAAACTGCACCACCTCGGCGCAATGCACGACAATGCGGTTCGCCCAACAATCGTCATCGGCCGGCGAAAAAGAACGGTCGATGAAAAGGTGGTCGAGCTTGACTTTGATCGGCCGCTGCGTCGCAAACGCCATTGTGATTTCCTGCCGGAGCCCCACCCAGAACGAAGCCTGACGGAGGGAGCTCGGCGGGTCGAGAGCGGATGCGTTTTGCGTGTTCATGAAAAGCTGGATGCCGAGGAGGTGGCCTTCGTGGTCTGTTCCTATGAGCGGAACGTCGAGCTCTTCGAGGGTGCGGAGGAGGATTGTCGCCGCGAGAAGGTCATCGTTTGTGAGGGCTGACGAGTCGTTTGAGATTGTGGTGAGGTGTTTGAGGCATTCTTGGTGGTAGCGGTCCGAGGCGTAAGGGTCATATTGTTCGTGGAGGCTGAGGTGGCGGGAAGAGAGGGCGAAGATTGCGTTGAGGAGGGTTGGACATGTCGTTGCTCTTCGCGGGACGACGATTGCAAAGTGTCGTCTTGCGTCGCATAGGTCGAACTAAGAGGAGATTAGGACAGCCGTAGAGTTGCCAGGTATTAGTCTGAAGCAAATGGCGTGCGACAACTCACCCAAGTGCACATGTACTCTAGATAGTACTTCATCAACCTCACCTCATGAGGCTGCGTAAAAGGAAACACGACATCGTCATGATGCTCAAAGTTGGCCAACCCAAGAGTTGACCCAGATGGAATAGCGCTGTAAACAGAGGGCAGAGTCGTTGGTGTCTGCACCTGCACCTCTCTCCAACTTGCAGCCGGCGTAGAGGCGGGTTGGCTGTGAGGACTCGGAACTAGAAGCCGGGCATCACGGTAATCTCGGCTATGCGAGTCGATGATGGGAACCGGGGATGCGGATGCGGCGTCATCGGGTTGCCGTCGTCCTCGGCGTCGTTGTTGTTCTTGGTCCACTAACAGCGCGGATAATGATGATGAGCCAGGATCAGGATGTATCGCTGGCAGCCGTACCCGCTGACCCTCCACCGGTGCGAGCGGCGGCTGCAGTGCTGCCGGTGGATGGAGTTGCGCTTGCGCTTGTAGTTGCGGCGGCGGGCTGCCGTGTTCAGACCAATAAAGAGCCTCAAGTTCCTGGGTTTCATCGACAAAGTGTACTATGTGACCGAGTTAGGCAATTTTGGCAGAAAAGAAATTGATGTCGGGATAAGCTTCGTTCCAAGAGGATTCCAAACAAGGCATTTCTCGCCGTTTTTGCTCGTAGATCTCCTCCTCATTTTCCCCAACTTCTCCAACTTGCAAGGTCTTGGAGGTGGGACTGTGAACTTACATCGCCGCGGATAGGGCACCCACGTCTGCTCCGTAGCGCTCGGCGTCCTAAATCAGCGAGACAAAACCCATAGTAAGCGATCAGCGTTCCCGCAAAAAAAGCAGTACAATATGGCGCATTACGGAGTCTAGAGTTGCAGATTCGTTCCCGTGACGAAAACGAAATGGGGGTACGACGTATTGTAGTGGTAGACGGGGCGGGCGAGGCCATTATCTCGGTTCCGCTTTGCGTACATCTTGACTCTTGCTTCGCCAATGTCGCAACTCGCACATCGTGTAGTGTGGTTCGCAATTGGGCGGGGAACGACTGGGGTGCCATAGAGCCAAGTACAAGCTTGCCAGAGTTGATGGCAGAGATAGAGAAATTTGGCCGTCACTTACTCAGTGGCATGCTTGAATCGAATTGCGGGGGCCGGAACGCACTCCTTGCCAGTTGCTCTGCATCGAATACATGATCTCAAGTAGACGTCGGGCCGAGAAGGAGACAGAGACTCATCGTCATCTGTGCTCCACGCGCATTTGAGATGTTGCTTTTTGCAAGTCTATCATTCATGTTTATTAGCTTTGGAGTTGAGTATGCCCGTCAACGTGGGGACAGTGGGAGTCGGGATGGGATGCAAAGTCCGACAGACAGGCAGTCCAGTTTGGTCATCTCATCCCACATATTCCACATCGCCAACCCCAGATTTCTAAGTAAGCAACAATTCCACAGCTTCTGATTGCTTAGGCGAAATCTGGGGTAGAACACGGATCACGGAGGGTCGGGCTTGGGTGTCAGACTCTGGGGAAACGGGGTGAAGAGCCAAAGCGAACAGGGCCGACTTACCAGACATGTCGCGGACATGATTTGACTCCCACCTCTTTCAGTCTCTTTTCATCCTGCCTTGTCGCAGTTTCGTGGAATTGAGACGATCACGACGATGTAGGGAAGTTGGGGGATAAAAGCATTTCCTCCTTTGTGAATTCAGGAAATCTGTGCATCGGGCCGAACTGCTTGAGACTCTGAAAGAGGAAGAAAACTCCTAGCCTCTCACCCTAGGCCTTACAGCTGTCGGTGAGGCTCCTTCGGTTCAAATTTCCACGTCAACCATGTCCCGGCCTTCTCCTCCTAGCCTATGACGAAAGTGTTAATGCAGGTTGGAAATGGCCCCTGACTCGTGTTGGGGAGAGGCCACCCCCTGGTCTGCCAGCCCCCATCCAAATCCATAGAGGCTCGGCACTGCAAATCCACGGCCAGATTCCGGAGTATTCTGGTATTTCGAGACATAGCGTACAGACACCCCACCTAACCCGTCAATTCCCCACGGGCAACTCATGTGCGAGAATCTTCTGACAGACGGCCCCTGTACTGCGTGGAAACCGCGTTCTTATCAGCTTGGAAGTGCCAGAAGCACGCAGAAGACTCTAATCATGTGCAGTCTGTATCTTGACCTCTTCGGCGCTCTTCCATAGTCCCACCCAGGCGCTCCGTGCTCGATTGTCGAACGGTGTCTGGAAGGGCGCACATCGTCTGTTGAGTTCTGTCATCGAACCTGATCTCGAACACGTCTTCAATTCCTCGCAAACACCCCCAAAACTCCAACTGCCAAGTTCTCCAAATACCGTGGGGCTGACGAGGGCGGGCATAACCCCGGCCGTATTCTATCTCTCGCTGGTTCGTCGTCAGTGCCTGAATTCGTCCTCTCTGCCGGACTGATGGCCGAGGGGTGCCCCATGCTCTCTGTATCTGTCTCTCTTCCTTCCTCCCCCGTATTTGGTGTAGCGTGAGTCGTGATTGGCGTCTCCGTACAAGGAACGCTGGAAGCCTGACACGGTTTCCCCAATATCCCCAGAAAACCCATCTTTGAAGCACACCCCGCGATTTAGCGGCTCCTCCACGTCCATTCTTGACCAACTAGCATCCGGCCATTGGTCGTGGTGCTCGTGGCGGCTATTGTGCGCAAGCGTATCCGTAGCGTTCCTCTTCCCCGTCCCGTCCTCTCCTCTTTCCCCCCGTGCCCACCCTCGTCACTCATCAAGGCTCGGCGTAAACAAGTATCTACGGCTTTCCAAAGGTGTGGATCCCCCCAACCGTGCCTCCTGGACTGTCAATGAATTTACCTGACGGGCGTAGTCGGGATGGCTTGGCCATGGGCCAGGCGGTGGCCCCGAAAGTCTCGGAGTTCTATAAAGACGACGTTGCGTGCCATGTTTGACGTTGATCTCGACTCCCTCTCGTGCGACTCAGGCGGGTTCGACCAAAGCTTCTTCCTTCTTCTTCAGTGATACCCCTCCCGATTTCTTCTTATATTTCAGTCTCATCAGACTGAACCGGTCTGTCGGATTCGTGTAACCTAACCTCGCCCCTGGCTCATCCAGTGCAACCCCAGTTCTTCAACTTCACGGCTCAGTCCAAGTGAGTTCATCCCAAAGACTCTTTTACACCAGCTTAGTCACGAACCTGTTTCACCACACCTCATTCACACAACAAATATTGAAAACCTTTAAATCTCACCTTAAACTGACATTTAACAACAACAGCTCAAAGATGGGTGCCCGATCAACCTCCGCCTCCGAGGTGGAGAAATCATCAACCAACTACCCAGGCGTCTCTACCGAACAACAAGAGACTGTCCTCTCTGATGCCTCCCTCGAGCCCTACGGACCCTCTGGCTTCAGGGGAATCTTCGCATCCCATTATGTAGCTCTCTGCGCCGCCTTCTCAGCCATCGGTGGTCTCCTTTTTGGTTACGACCAGGGTGTTATCTCAGTCACCCTGGTCATGGACCAGTTCCTCGAGCGCTTCCCTGAGGTATCTGACCACGCTGCTGGCTCTGGCTTCAAGAAGGGTCTCATGACTGCCATGATCACTTTGGGCGCCTTCATTGGTGCCATGAACCAGGGTTGGCTTGCCGACATGATTTCCCGAAAGCGCTCCATCATGGTTGCTGTTGTTATCTTCACTATTGGTTCCTCTATCCAGACTGCGGCTGTCAACTACGATATGCTCGTTGGAGGTCGTTTCATCGGTGGTTTGGGCATTGGCATGTAAGTTTTATCAACCTCTCCCTTTATGAACGTCTCAAATACTCATACTTTTAGGCTTTCCATGGTCGTTCCTCTTTACATCTCCGAAATCTCGCCTCCCGAAATTCGCGGCTCGCTTCTCGTCTTCGAACAGCTCTCCATCGTCTTCGGCATCGTCGTAGCATTCTGGATCACCTACGGCACAAAAGACATTCCCAACCACTGGTCTTGGCAGCTTCCCTTCCTCATTCAGATTCTCCCCGGTCTCTTGCTCGGATTCGGTGCCATCTTCCTCCCCTACTCCCCTCGCTGGTTGGCATCAAAGGGCCGCGAAGAAGAGGCCCTCTTCAACCTCGCCAAGCTCCGAGTTCTCCCCGACACCGACCCCCGCGTTCGCCGCGAATGGATGGAGATTGTTTCCGAGGCTCGCTTCCAGGCTTCAATTCTTGCCGAGCGCCACCCTACCCTCGTCGGAGGCGGTAGCATTGCCAGCACTATCAAGCTCGAGTTTGTTGCTTGGGGCGATTGCTTCAAGAAGGGATGCCTGAGACGTACGCACGTTGGTGCTGGCCTCATGTTCTTCCAGCAGTAGGTTGCAGTGATAAAATCATTGTTTGAGATTTTACTTACAGTTCCACAGATTTGTCGGAATTAACGCCCTGATCTACTACTCACCTACCCTCTTCGCAACAATGGGACTTGACCACAACATGCAACTGATCATGTCCGGTGTTCTCAACTGTGTTCAGTTGGTCGGTGTTATCCCCAGTCTGTGGACCATGGACCGATTCGGACGTAGATCGCTCCTCTTGACAGGTGCCGTGGGCATGACAATCTCGCAAGCCGTCATCGCTATTCTTGTTGGACTGTACTCGAACGACTGGCCCAGCCATACCACTCAGGGCTGGGTCAGTGTGGCTTTCTTGCTGATGTACATGTTTGTCTTTGGCGCAACATGGGGGCCTGTGCCCTGGGCATTGCCTTCCGAGGTGTTCCCCTCATCGCTCAGAGCCAAGGGTGTTGCCATCTCTACTTGCTCTAGTAAGTTGAAACTCGCTCTTCGATCACTGACCTTTATGACATTTGCTGACATGTAATCTTCCAGACTGGATCAACAACTTCATCATCGGTCTCGTCACCCCTCCTCTGGTTCAGGGCACCGGTTTCGGCGCATACGTCTTCTTCGCCGCTTTCTGCCTCTTGGCCTTCGTTTGGGTATGGTTCTGTGTTCCGGAGACGAACGGAAAGACTCTTGAACAGATGGACGAGGTGTTTGGTGACCGTACCGGGCTTGA